CCCCCAAAACAGCCCCCCCCCAATGAGAATGGCAGACTTGCAGGCTGCATTCAAAACAATGTACAGCATCCCCGCTGTACATTTAGCTCTGCTTGCCCAAATCAGGGCTAAATGTAGAAAACAACTACCCGCCCGGCGCCCGGAACTGCATGTCCCGGCATCGGGAGATAGGAATTCCACACCCCTGCTGCCCCTCTACTCCCTGCTACCCCTCTCCTCCCTGCTGCCCCTCTCCTCCCTGCTGCCCCGAGGCCAAGCCTTGTGGGAAATCCGGCACTGAGTAGTGGGAGAGAGCAGAGTGACAGAGGGATGAGCTCATCAGTGTGCTGCTTATCCTTCACAATCACAGGGTTCGGGGTGGGGAGGAGACCCGGAAGTTCAAGTAAAACTGCACTACAGAATGCTCAGGTCCCCCTCCTCCTGCCAGGCAGGGCCGTGCTGTGTGGTAGAGCTGTGTATATCTCAGGACTGGATGGAACAAAATCATTTTGGTTGATATTTACCCCAATATGAAGTGAAGACTCTATGCTCCCCGGCTCCACCTTGTGGCAGTAATGTGATGCTACATGCTGTGCCAGTGTGTTATAAATCACCCCCCTGTGAAGTATGACAATAAAGAACTCTGGAAATGTCAAAAGTTAACCCTTTCAGTGAGGCCACTCCCACACTGCAAGGGTTAAGTGCTGGTTTTGGTCTAGGAGCCGGAATAAAGGGGATAAACTCACCCGATCCTTGGTCCCGCAGCAGTGAGTGATCCCTCCCCCACCCCACACTCCAGCTGTGTGTTCCTCTGCACATCCACACCAGTCCCTCTCCTCGAGCTTACAATCAATGGTTCCTATCTCACAAGCATGCATATGAGGGCCAATTTAGACAGGAGACAGCATGCCTTTGCACTGTAGGAGGAAACCCACGCAAGCACAAGGAGAGCATGCAAACTCCATGCAGATAGGGATCTTTCCGGGATTTGAACCAGGGACCCCCCAGTACTGCAAAATACATTTTAGCCCCTAGACCAAAACGAGCGTTTAACACTTAAAGGAGAACTTGAGTGCAAATCACTCTGCCTCATAGTTCTAGCCGACCTGTTACAATGAAACTGCCCGCGGTATACTGAGCTTTGGGTGATGGGAGGCAGTGGCGTAACCAGAGTTATGAGCGCCCGGGGCAGAACATTTTTTTCGCCCCCCCATATTATATAAACATCCACTAGAACTGTACCCCCCACCCCCACACATATTTATCAGCTAAGGAACTACAAGTCCAAGCATGCCATCATTTCCCCGCAAGCCGCCGTCCCCGCCGCTAAGATGGCCTCCGGTTCTCTCCCCTTCTCTGAACCGCAGCACTAGGCGTTTGTGTACGGTGGCACCACCGGAGGGTGCCGCCCCCACGGAGAGTGCCGCCCTAGGCAAACGCCTAGTTTGCCTCGCGGTAAATACGCCCCTGCATGTGGGCGGCGGGGGACTTTAAAAATAAATAAATATTTTTTTGTATTTTTTAAACACTTTTTAAAATGTTGTTTTACACTAGCTTTATTGCTATCACTTGTTTGCTAACAAGCCCCCAATGTAATAGCAGATAGGGTGTGACAGGTCCTTTTTATGGAGACATCAGGGGTCTTTCAGACCCCTAATGTCACCTGGGGACCCCAAAGAAGCTGAGGAAGCAGAGAACCAGCTTCTTCTTCTGGTTCTAAGAGCCGGAGAATGTGCACAGTGACAGCGGAAGAGATGTCATACACTTCTGGGTCCAGCGATTGGCGGAGAGTTCAGCGGCTGGAAGCTTGCTGATCTCTCTCCGATCACTCAGGGGAGACCTTCCATGCTGGTTCCGGGCCCGCGCGAGAGATAGCGGAGCCCAGGGTAGCCGCCAGTGGTGATGGAGGGGGGGGGGGGGTG